CTGTCTGCAGGTATTGCAATGTCCACGATCCAGATTGTTTTGTCTTTCTTATCAACAGTTGTTAAGTCTGGGGTGTTGGGTGGCAGGTGCTGGTCTGAATCCTAAAGTCCCAGAGCGCTTTAGCTTCTTCATTTTCTATGACTTTGTCTGTTTTGCGGTCCCACCAGTTCTTGCTTGCAGGCAACGGGTATTTCTTGCAGATATTCCAATGCACCATTGTGGCTATGTCATGCTGCTCTTTGTAGTCGGTCCGTGTGATCTTCTTGCAGCAGCTAGCTCATTGTTGTTGCTGTTGTTCAATATATATATGTATCCTAAACTTTTTATATTCTGTTGTGGTTTTTAAATTTCATTCACTACCTCGAGTGCTTACCAGACTGAAAAGGCAGGTTGTAAATCAAGTCTAAAACAAGCGAAGAAAATAACACTGGATTCATTTGCTTCCTGCCAGTCCAAGTCCAGCTGGATGGCTCCGGGATGGTGGAACTGGGGGGCCTGACTGGCAGATACAAGGCTATGCAGTTCCATTTCCACTGGGGAAGCCAGGAAGGAGAGCTGCTGAGTCCTGGCTCCGAACACAGCATCGATGGAGAGAGATATGCCATGGAGGTAAAAATGGCCAGAAACGTCCATCTCCAAACTCTAGAGTCAGAAGACATCAAAAACTACTTAACTGGCCAAAATGGGATAAAAAGCAGGCAGGGAGGGAAGAAGACGTGAAGAAGAGGCAAAAATGAACCGTCTCTATTTTATGTGGCTATACTGGAAACCATGCTGTGGGTGATTAGCATGGAGAGTCCCAATGGGAGTGACCTTTGGTCATCCCGGTTTATGTACATAAAAGCAGCAGGATAGATTTGAAAAGGAGGACACCAGGTGATCCTGCCTCTATTCTGCACCACGAAGGAAACAGTTCAGTGAATGGGGATGACGTATCCAACAGTGGCCACTTTCACGATTTTTTGGACAACCTTCTCTGGGGATTCTTCGCTCACTCTTGGCCCTGAAACTTTTTTTCATGCTCAACTTTCACCAACACATCTCCTTCAATTTTAGCTCATTCATTAAAGATTTAAAGAGGCCAAATGGAAAGGAAATAGAAATCCGGATTGATGCGTCATGCTAAGCCTTAAGGAGGTATGAAAAACACAGCTCCTGGCTTAGCCTGGCGTGCAAATCCTAGACAATGGTGAGTTATTCACTCAACAAACCATGGCTTGCTGATGTATCACCGATGTGGGGTTTTATTGCAATGGTGGGGCTTATGAAGCATGTAAGAATGGAAAGAGACACCCAAAAGTGGATCATGATCTCAGTTTATTCACTTTGATAAATTGGACATCTTGCTTTCAGGCTTAAAACCAAGTTTCTAGATATTGTGTATTATGTTTTTATCACGGTAAAGGTTTAGACCCTTCTTTCTTGTTTTATAGGGTCTTCTCGGGGGGGGGGTGTCACAATGGCAGCTGTGACAACGCTTGTTGCCTTGCTGACTTCTTAAACACCGCCCCCTTCCCGACACTCTTGTTGCTTTACAAAAACAGGAAAAGTATTTTTTAGCCAGTGAGACTTGAATAGTAAAGGACCTTGATTCAGCCTGTGACTTTCTTACAGCTCCACATTGTCCACATTAAGGAAGAATTTAACGACGTAGCATCAGCGATCAAAGGAAAAGGCGTAGCAGTGCTGGGATTTTTTATAAAGGTACGGAATAGATTTGAGTTCTACTGTAATATTTTTTTAACAAACTTAAAGGCTTAGAGTGAACTCATCTGGGTCAATTGTGCCTCTCATCCAGTGCCTTCCAGCTGTACTGAAGCACAAGACCCATAATCTTCGCCCACCCTCCTACCCAGCGCAGGCTGCATCTATATAGCTTGGCCAGATGGTGCCAAGATGGTGCCAAGCCTCTTTACAGACGCCTGCACTGGGTGAGGCCCCCGGCCTCTGACAGCCCCTGTTCCCTTTCAGACTGATCTCAGCCCTCTCTGCCTAGAGTCCTCCTGGGCAATGGGACACCTTTGCTCCTCTCTCTGCCTGGTGCCTGGCCCCCTGCCCTTCTCTCTCCCCTCCAGCTTGCAAGACAACTCTTGCCATCGCTCCTGCCAAGTTTAGAGCACAGCTTTTTTTTCCCAAGTCCTGTGATGTCGGGACTAATCATCCTGCACAGGGTGTCGTCCCCAACCCGTTTGCCTGAATCTTATTTAAAAAAGAACAGACTGTTGTGTCTTCTTCAGAGAGGGCAGTATTATAATTAATGAAAGTGGGAGCAGTTTAAAGCCATATCAATGGCTGTTTTTCACTGTATACACATGCAAAGGGAGGAAGGAAGGAAAGAAGGAGAAACAGACACAGAAAAAGGAAGGAAGGAAGGAAGGAAGGAAGGAAGGAAGGAAGGAAGGAAGGAAGGAAGGGACTTCTGCAGTTCCGCAATATGTGATTATGCATAAAGGCCACGTAACCTTAAAACGCCACCTTCCTCTTCTGTAGTTCCAATACGATGCGTTAGTCTGAGCATTTATGGCTTACATTACAAGCACAGCAGATACTGTGCTGTGTTAACTACTCTGTGTTAAGAAACATGCTGACATAACATGCGCTTCAGAAACAAAATTGATTCCAGTGTAGTTCCTCTCCCAGTTTCCTGATGCCTCACCATCCTGGTCACCTTTCTCAGGACATCCTCTAGTTCCAAAAGCTTTTCTTAAGAGATCCCCCCTAGAACTGGACATCTTCAAACAGCAAATGTTCCAGGTTTGGTTCTTAATATGTTTTGCTCTGTTACAGGCTGGCAATAAGAACGCAAATTATGAACCGCTCATTTCAAATTTTAAAGCGATCAGTGCTGCAGGTAAGGAGATGGGCCCTAACGCAAATGTGAATTTAATTTAATTCAGTTTTATAATTTAATTGGATTCGCTGGATTTTGAGACTGCTCAACTCCAAAAGAGACTCTGAGCAGCTTACAGCTTTTGAAAGATATGATTTAAGAAACATGGAGAAAACTGCATCAATAATGTTAAAAAGAGATTCAACAGGGCTCCACAGACACCTCAAACCCTGGCCTGGGAACAGAGCCAGGTCCTAAGGGGTCTTCCAGAAGCCTTGGAGAATGGTGGCCATACGTTTCTCTGGGGGAGGGGTTGTTAATGCACCCCCCTTTCTTCTTCACCGTCACCGAAACATCTTCCCATTGGTTGAGGTGAAGCGTGAGATGCTCAAAAACATCCCTGCTCAAATTCCCAAGGATTAAAACAGCCCTGGGAAACAGGAGCTATTTCTGTTCTTTATTTTTAAAATGTGTATGGCCACCCTTCAAAACTAAGTTTTCTCAAAGTAGCTTAGATCTTTCCCTTATGTGGGCGAGACAGTCTTACTGAGAACAAGCTAAGGGTTCAACTCTGTTCGCTAAGCAGAGCCGTGCTTGCAAATCTTCCATCTGGGGCACCAGCAAGCCCAGTTCTGTGGCTCCTTGACTTTGAGGAAGATGCAGGACAACTGAGGTGGCCCATAGCTTGAAAAGACCCCAGGTGGACTGCCTGGAAGGACAATTCTGTCTCATTTGGGAGAAGATGTTCTCCGACTCCTTCAAAAGAACAAAGCAGGTGGCAGACTTAGCTAACCTTGGCTGATCTTGAAAGAATTGAGCAGAATTGGACCTGTTTAGTACATGGATGGGTGTAGAGCAGTGTTTCTCACCCTTAGCAACTTTAAGAGGAGTGGACTTCCACTCCTCTTAAAGTTGCCAAGGTTGAACAACACTGGTACAGAGGAAAGAAGGAATGGCCTTGAGGGACAGACCAAGGCAGCAGATGGATAAACGGGGCCTGAGACCAGGCCAAGGAAGCAACCTGAGAAAGCGTCTCAGACATGACCCTCTCTAGTTCACATGAAGGTAAAGGGAGGGAGTGGGGAAGCACATTCAGACTTGCAAGATTCTGTTATTAAAGCTTTACAATAAAAGTAGTATTGACCTAGTTTCCTAGTCTGATCTACCTTGAAGGGCTGACAATGGGAGACCACCAGGAAGTCCTCGGGCCATGGTCCCTGTTGGGGAGCTGAAAGACATCCCGGGAGAAGGCCTTCTGTATTGTTGCCAAGAAAGCAACATATTCCTATCCATATACTCCCCAGGAACCAAGCTGAATTTAACGAAGGCTTTCAGCATCAATATGACTTGTACAACATCTGAAGGTTGTGCCATGAGATAAGAGTAACTCTCTCCACCATTTATTCAGGAAATAAAACAGAGATTCCAGCTTTGGCCCTGGGATCCCTGATACCTGAAAAGAAGGATCTCACCAGCTTCTATCGCTATAAAGGCTCTCTGACCACACCTGGCTGCAACGAGGAGGTGATCTGGACCTTATTTGAGAAACCCATTGAACTTGGGTCGCAGCAGGTAGGAGAGATGGGCCAAGGAAAGGCAGGAGCTTGGGGGGTGGGTGGGGGGCTGTTCTCAAAGTCTTTACAAAGGCCCAAACAAAGCAGTGGGATGCTGGGTTCTTTGGACCCATCATTGCTTTGTTGCAATGTCTAAAATTTTGTCTAAAATGTTGTTAATTTCCTTGAATGCTGGCATAGAACAGGAAGGAAGGAAGAGGAAGGGAATGTGTGTGTGAAAGAGAGGAAGGAAGGAAGGAAGGAAGGAAGGAAGGAAGGAAGGAAGGAAGGAAGGAAGGATTGTTAACATTTTGGTGCCTTATTCAGTCAACATAAGCTCCTCTGTATATATTTTGACTTATTCCTGGGAAAGGTAGAACATTAATATTTTGCTGTCTTGTTGGTTTATAGATTCAAGAATTCTGGAAAAAGCTGTATTTTGACACTAACACAAAATTTTCTATGATGGACAATTTTCGACCAGTTCAGCCTATATATTCCCGAACTGTCTATAAATCGAACTCAAATACCCTCTTGCCCCCAAGGAATGTACTCTTGCTGATCTCAACTGCTGTGTATCTTGCCTTCACTTTGATCCAATGAAGAGTTGGCTGGATCGTTTGAACAATTCGCACTGAACTGAAAGGCCCTCATCTTGAAAGCCTTCTCACAGCCACAATCTGGAATTTGGCCTAACAAGATGGCCAGGATTCCAGGGCGGAAATGTATTTTCAGACGATATTATCTTGTGTTAAATAGATCCAATTTACCACGCAAGAATTGTTCCCATACAAAAGGCCAAAACAGATTTGGGAAAATCACCAATCCAAATGATGCACGCTTCTTCACAATAATTTGAGCAACCAAGCCTGGAATATTATTCTCACTCCATTTCCACTTTCCAATTATAGGTCTCCATTGGGATAGAAATTCAATCAGATTCTCCTTCTCCTTCTCCTTCTCCTTCTCCTTCTCCTTCTCCTTCTCCTTCTCCTTTTTTTTTTTTTTGCCATTGCATCTTTGAGAAATTTTCTCCATGGACAGATTTTTAAGTATTATTTACATAGCACCAGTAATTAACACTTTTCACCTGGCAAGTCGTAAACACGCTGGCCGTGTGAGAAGCATTAATTCAGCATCATGATTTAGCACCTTGACACTCGAAAACCAAAGTGTGTCTGTACCAATTAATATCAGAGGCAAAAAGAAATTTGCAGACAAAAATTGGCAGGAGTAATAAGGATACTTAACCCATCCTTCTTGACTGGGATGTCAAGTTCAAATTGCTGTGCGTTCCTCATGAGGACTAGTTCTTTAGCCCAAAGGCCGCAATATTGAAGGCTTTTGCTATAGTGATACAAAAAACTCTAGTGGGTTAAAAATAAAGAATATCACGGTTTGCAACATAAATGTATTAAATTTAAAAAATGCTGCAAAATAGCTTAGTCTTTAAGCATAGTAGGAATAATAATATTAATATTAATTGGCATTATTATTATTATTATTTTCATTTTGGTCAGTTCACTGACTTAAGCTGCTTTTTGCTTAACCAGAACGCCATTATCTGGTTTTACTGGGCTGATATGTAATAGTTTTATAAGATAAAACTATTTATCAAAGTATTGTTGCAGGGCGGTTGGGTGTGTGTGTGTGCAGAAAATGATTTGGGGTGCTGCATATGCTCCATGGGCCACAGATTTGAGACCCCAACCCTCTATGCTGATTCTTGCCTTCCCAACTTTTCTTCTTCCTGCACCTCTGCAATGCAGCTAAGCTTTTTTCACTAACTGGAGTGCAAAAACACATTTGTTAGTTACATGGGGAGGAAACATCGGCAGAGAAGACTTCCAACCAGGGGTGCCTCCAGACTGTGGTTCAAAAAATCAAGGTGGCAGTTGTGACAACATGATTGAATGTCCTCCTTTTTTTATGTGCGTCACACTGCCATCTTGATGTTTTTGACCAGACCCTGAGGACACCCCTGTTTCCAATTGATACATTCTTCCTGGAATAGATCTGCCTCCCTTCCTCCATCTTAGCTGCATTGCAACCGGCAACCTTGGTCTTCTGGAACCTGGACCAATTCTGTCCATATAAGCCAACTTCCTGTTCTAGCTGAACCTGATTTTCACAAGTTCTAAGTTTTGGTCCTTGTATTCTGGCAGTTGACTGTGTCCCAATCCTGTCTGACTTCAGAAGGTTGCCCAGGGCTCAGTCTTGGTGTTCCACCATGGTGTTACCTAGGCAATGCATATATTTTTTAACTAAGTGAATATGATGCTCTATTTTTTTGGAAAGGATCATTCCTTCCTCAGCCACATTCCCTCCAAATGTGTTGGGACTGTAGCTCCCCTAATTCCAGGCAGCATGGTCACTGGGAATGGCAATCCCATCTTATCTGTGGTTTTGGGGGGAAGACTCGTCTACCTCATGAAATGAAATGAAATGAAATGATACCAACAGATATTGAGATATATCCAATCCAAAAAGTCAGCCTTGAATTTGGGAGTTATTTTTTAGCAACTACTTACCAGCCAACCATGTTCTGAAGCCAATATTATCCTTCTAAGAATGGATATGACAAGATCCATTCCTTTCTATCCATGTCCAATGACAGCTCATTGCAGAGCAGAGAGACATAACCTAGAGCTATCATACCTAAGCTGTGAAACTCCACTAGACCACTAGATGGCAGCAAAGGAATGCAGAACATTGCCATCTAGTGGGCATCGAGATTTTTGCAGCCCCAATTGGGTAGCCCTACTTACAAGAACCTTCCAAGATATTTCTGAATGCTGTATTCGAAGACATTGAACATGGCATTAAAGTGGCATTCTCCTGTTGGTAGTTTTCAGAACCAGGTTAGGCATCTCTGGCCGGGGAAGAGCTCCCACCAGATTCCTAGGGAGGGGGCAAAGTTAAAATTCATCAGCAACGAGATGCCTTTAAACAGGAGGTGGCCCTGCAGATATTCTGGAGCCAAGCTCCCATCAGACTTCCAAGGACAATGAAAATCCAAAAATTCTCCACTCCTACGTTTCCCCTTGGAGAAATGCTACACCTTGGATTCTTGTCTAAAAGGAGTAGAAACAAGAAGTCTTCATTTTCTAGCCTCCTAGAGAGGAAGCATGAGGACCAAGTCAACATCCATCAACCCACCTGCTATTTGCGTAGGAATAAAGCAATCCATTCTGGAGATAAAAGCATCCTTTGATTTTTGAGGATGGCCCCACAGCCATCACCATTTTAGAAGAGGCATTTCCTCTAAAATGAAGAAAGAAGGACATTTCTTCTAAGAATGGTTTCAAAGCACTTCCATTAAGAAAAGGATTCCTCTTAACTTTTCATCTTCCGCACTGGTCAGGCACCTTTTAACCAACTGAAACTTTCTTAAATATAATTGACTAAAGCTTGCTGGAGTCCAGTTGCTAAACTACTGATTTAGAGATGGTTTCTTTGCCCTTCTAACTGCTGCTGTGATTTCTTGACTTTTCACTGATGTTTAGCTGGCATACATTAACACACGCTTTTAATGGAAATAATCTGTGGTGACCTTTGTTTAATGCAGAGATCGCAGGCCTGGCTTTGCACCAATGGAATTCTGCAATTTCTGCAGCCAGAAATTAAAATTTCTCTCCTGTCCCCCAGAAGTACCAAGGGGATTGACATGGAATGGTTGCACTTACAACCTGATTGTTTTGTATACACAGTCTCCTTCAATGTACTGGAGCTTCTCTAGAGCTTTAAAAAGCACTGCAGATGAATTATTTTCTTATTTGTACTGAATTTAATAGCAAAGAGCTTATGGTAAAATGCAAAATAGTAAGATCAGAGAAAGAAACAACACAGATACTCTTAGAGTCTGTATATTCCAGATGAATATACAAAGCCTCATCTTTATTTTTATATTATTTAAGAGCTTTTCTTCTGGGTTGGGGAGTCAAATGAATAAAAAATTGCAACTGAATTTTGCTGTCTGTATTTGCATTTTTTGGAACTATTCAAATATGCATTTTACACAAAACGTGTATTCTTAAATGCACTGAT